GGTGGGTGAACCATCCGTGGCCTGATTCAAGGTTTTATTTAAAACTCAAGATTTTTTTTTTCCCCCTGGGTGAGGAAATAAGGGTTTTTAAGAGGCCAGCCTCCTACAGACCAGAAGCGGCCACGATCCCACGGATCGGACATTGTGACTGCAGTCCTATTTCTACTCAGCGGTTGGTGTGACCTGTGGAAATACGACATGAAGAGACGAGTTACAGACCAGAGGAAGCACAAAGTCTGGAGCGTTGTGAGCATGGAAGGGGGGATGTGAACACACTGTGTCGGGATGCTAGGGAAAGTCAGCAAGGAAGCCCCCGGGGGTAGAAGATCACATGAGCAGCCGTGCTCCCTCTCTAATGCCTCTCCTTTCCCGCCACCTCTCATCACTCTGTCTCCCGTGAGGGAAATAGACTCTGTCACGCACTTGCACAGCCATGATGGCTGGCAACCATGGGCCCAGAATCCTGACTGACGTCTGTAAAACCATGAGCCAACGGCCCTTTTCTCCTTTCTGCTGTTCCCAAGGGCTTCGTTTATAAGGGACTAGCGTGTGTACATTCTACCAACATTCAGATACACTTCAAACACTCAAGGGTGAAATTGAAAAGGGAGGCCCGGAAACAATCAGGAACTCGTGTGTGGGGATTCTAACTGCCACTGCTGGAAGTACAGAGGACTGGGAGACAGTAGGTCTTATGGCTTCCAGCCCATCTGGTGGGAGGAGCAATGTCTCCACAGTGGTCTCCACCTGGTCTCTCTTGTTCTGCGTGGAGAGACTCCCATCAGTCCCTGGAAGAAAATGACTCCACATCTGTCAGGCCAGAGAAAGCACCACACGAAGCTTGGATTTGACACAGCTGTACCTATTCACCCATCCTGACGCTTTTAAAAAGAAGAATGACTGTTAGTTAGCTTTGCTTTCGTGGCAAAAATGCAGAGACTGCCTAGAAATGTTTTGGTGGCTCCCCAATCAAGAGAGATTGATGCCCATCAGTCTTTCCGCTCTTCCATACTTCAGGCTTGTTCCTACAGTCGGGGTTGCCTCATGATCAAAGGAAGTGGTTGGTCCCTCAGTCATTACATCCACGTTCAGGCGGGCTCAAAGATGACAAGGCAAGAGAAGTGTCAGCTGAGGGAGCACCAGTGAGATGTCTTATAAGCCGTTTCCAAGGTGTCTTCTCTCAGAGCCTTGGCTACCCCACAGAGAGAAGGAAAATGTCTTGGCAGCCTGCGTTCCCAGTACACCTGGGGTTCCGTCACTGGAGGAGGAAGAACAGACACTTGTGACATTACTAGCTAGTTGCAGAGTGGCTGCCTGCCTTCCACTTTGCCTGTTTATTCCCATGACTAATTTCTACTCAGCAAATGCCTCACAGTGGAAAGAAAGTGGTTCATTTGTTCACCGAGAGCACCAGAGGTTGGGGTGGAGGGCTCCTCCAGGAGAGTGAAGAAATGCAAAGAAGAGTTTAAAAGCCCTGAGATCGCAGGAATGAAAGAGTCACATTGCATTGTCTGACCTTGTCAATGCAACATTCAAGCAAAAAAAAAAAAAAAGAGAGAGAGGTTCACAACTCACAAATGCATGCCATTGGATAAAAGATGCTTGAAGTACTTTGAGATCCAGAATAAGCTCCTAACTCATGGTTGGAACTTAAAATAAAACACAAGAGTTTGCCAATGGAGGCATCCCCGTCTACTTTAAATGAGTAACCACTAAGCCATTTCTTGGTATACAAAATTGGATGATGGAAGAATTATGGCAAAAACACATGAACTTCTCCATCATCTGTGACCAGGCTCATTGAAACTCGGGATATTTTTTAATAGCATTTGAGCATCCTCTGAACCCGTGCGAGATAGAAGACGCTGTGCTAACTGAACCTCAGGAAGTTGTCTCCACCTCTGTCTCCTTAGACACCTGCTGCACACGCTGAGACTCATGCACTTCCATAGTGAGTGTGCTGTCGCCATTGTCTCCATAGTGAGAACATACTTCAGAGCTAAGTCAGCTGCTGAAGGCAACACTGCAAATCAGCGCCTGTGCCCGAGGTCCCACGTTATTCTTTTCGGTTTGAAAAGTCCATTTTCTTTCCACTCAGAGATTCACAAACTGCGATGCTTCAGAAGAACAGAGCACTTTTCTCAATTGCCTATCATCAACGCGGTGATGCCGTTTCTCTTGATTACAAAGGAACCACTGCTGTGAGGGAAGGCATTTGCAGCCCCTGGAGTTGCTGACGCTGGGTCTGGGAGGCCAAGGGGTGGGAGGAGGGGCGGAGTTCCATCTGTTCAGCTCCTGAGGATTTGAATCAGGCAGGGAGCTGGAGAAGGCTCCCTTCCTTTTTTCCTTTTTTTTTTTTTTTTAGGCTAATTATCACTTGAGTCTGAACAGAGAGGGAAACATCTTGTTCCAGAAAGAAAAAATTGTCTGTGGCAGCAAGCCCCCATGCCCTGCTTAGTTTTTAAACAACTTGACACAAGCTAGAGTCATCCGGGAACATGTTACCAGCAGACTGGTCTGTGGGCAACCCTGTGGGCCATTTTCTAGGTTAATGGTTGATGTGGGAGGGCGCAGAACGCTGTGGTTGGGGCTACCCCATAGGTGTTCCTGACTGTATGAGAAAGCAGGCTGAGCTTTGTTAGTCTGTCAAAACATAGGTCTAGTCTCTTCTCAGTCCCAGTGTCCAAGCAGACATCCGAAACCCCATCTTTGAAGCCATTCTCGTGATACTAGCCGACTCCGTCCAAGGCCTGGCTTCATGCCAGCCCTTTTCAACTTTCCTCCTTCTTTACAGTAATTCTTCCCCAAGAGGTTTTGGCTCCCTGCTAATAGAGGAAGAAACTAAGGCTCAGAGAGGTGAAGGACCAGTAGAAATAGAGGAGTTCGGGTTCCAGCTTCTATACCCTCTCTGTCAGGGTCTCTGGGGAGACCTGAGCCGCCCTTCTGTAGTCAGGTTTATCATCTTATCCCACAGTCCCAGCCCCAGTGCAGGTTGTTTCCCTGGGTCACACAGGAGTCAATGAGACAACACGAGACTATGCCTTCTCCCTCGAGAGCACTCGAGCCTTAGCGGTATAATCGCTGGGTGCCCATTGCCCACCTCTGTTGCTGCTCCTGAAGCCAGATTTCTGGGGGCCCCTAAGGATGTGGCCACGACTTAATGCCACATCCTTCTGTCCCTCACTTTCATCTCAGTCTCCTTCAGATGCCTCTATGGCCTCCATCATTCCTTCCACGAGACCTTTGCTAGTGCTGTATTCAGTCGCGAGCGTTCTCTTTTACCTATCACATCCTCCCTTGGCCATTGCTTCTCTGAGGTGTCTTTCTGCTATCTGGGCTGGGTGGGGTCCCCCTGGGAGGCGCGCTCTCTGTTCCTAATACTTATGTGGTACATCCACCTGCGGCTGGGAGCATGTGGTTATTTAGTTTATGTCTTCTTTCCATGCTCCATGGGTTTGCTCAGGGACTTTCTTTGTGGGTTTTGGTGTCCCCGGCGCTGTCTATGCAGCCAGCATGAGGACTAGACCTAATAATTATCTGCAACTACCGGGTGAATAAGGTCAGATGGCCCCCACTGTGAGGTGGATCTCGTGTATATTTGTGTCATGAATTACTGCAGGTTTTAGGGTCAAAGCCGGGGCAACCCTGGCAGCCCTAACCAGCTAGCGTTGGCCACTCATGCTCAATGTGCCAATTAAGGAGCCAAGGAATAGTAAAAAGCAGAGAACGGAGCCTTATTCAACTTGACCACATTAAGAAGAGGAACAAATGAAAATGTCTGGTAACCTCTCAAGTCCATCTCCACGGTCTTGATATGAGGTTAAGGTTTAAAGAGAGAGCAGGAGACAGGCATGACTAAAGGAGGGGTCCTGCCTCCCACCACGGCCCAGCTCTCTCCTGCAAGGTGGTCTGACAAGATGGCAGAACTCTTGACATTTCTTTCTGGGAGGCAAAATCCCCCTCTGGCTGGCACAAACACACACATACACGCACCACACAAACGTGCACACACATGCACTCCATGCACACCAATTTTAAAAGGTAAACGATTTTTTACCTTTTACATTTTAAAAGGTCGCTCTGGCCAGGGTATCTGTAACGGAAGGGAAGAACAAAGAATACCGAGTGATTCCAGGGTGTGATGTCACGTTAGATACCCAGCCCTGCGGGGAAGGGTGTCTGTGTTTGTGGCTGGGACTAAGTTTGTCTCACATTGTTCGAGGGTGGGGGCAGGGTGGGGTTTAAATGGTGTTTAGAAAGATAAAAAGCATTCTCAAATGGATTTAAGCGCCAAGAAAAAAAGAAAGGTGGAGACTCAAGGTAACTTGGGAAATGGGTATATATATATATATATTTTTAAAGACTGTGATTATCTTTAGGACCAGCGCTGCATAATTAGGCAGAAGATTATTTTGTTTAATTTTTCTTTGCAGGACAGGCCATATGTGATATCCTATGTATAGAACACCAGACATGGCTGACGCCAAAATTATCCTTGCTTACCAACTCCATCTCACACATTTCTAAAATGTTTCGAAGGCTTCTGCCTCCAGGCTTTTTAGCATCTGGACATCTTTTGACATCAAGGGGAAGTTGGTGGACTCTACTTAAGTTGGAAGGGTTTCCAGATAATTTTCTTGCTTGCTTTTATTAGGTGATTCAACAATTTGCATTGCTTTGTCAAGATTTTACCTTTCAGAATCCACTAGAAAGCACCTGCCCTTACATCCAGATTTATCTAAAAATAGCACTTCCCTTTCCAACACCACCAGAAATATATGCACTTTTTTTTCCAAGCCTTATTTGTGAAACATATTTTTCGTCCAATGCCTTTCTTGGCAGAACCATTATTTGAAGATAAAACAATAAATTTGGGGGAGAGGAGCTTCCAGAATGCAAACCCTATGATAATCTGGCCATGCTTATTTTATCCCTGCTGTCTCCACTGCCCAGCTTATAGGCGCCAATAAGTATTTTTCAATGAACAGAGGTAAGTTTATGTTTATTAAATTTTTTACATTAAAATATTACATTTATTAAAGAAGTTTTAGGAGAAGGAGGAGGTAAATAAAAGATTATGCTGCTTAGATAACTGTTCATGTTGTTATATTCCTCTAGAAATTTCCCATCATGTACATATTTATTTTTCCAACATGCTGTGTATAGGTTTCTAACACATATACAAATACTTAGAACGGATTTATTACGTATGCCTCATGACATCAAACAATCTGACCTCTCCATCAGGGATGAATATACATCACTGCGAAGTGAGAATGAACCACCACTTACGTAGCCAATCTCACTAGGAAACATTGCCAAGGCAGCAAGCTTCTGTTTCTCAGAACTTCAGGAAAATGTGATGGTACTGATGCTAAGAGATAGAGCATCGAGAGCCAGAACTGAGTGAACAGTACTCAAGTCTAAAATCACAGGGCCTGCAAATCAATGGTGGAATGGTTTGCCCAGCATGCACCAGGCTCTGGGGTTGAATACCAGCACTATAAGCTTCTATTTTTTTTAAAATTTCACAGAGCATACCTTCTGTTTTTGATGGACAAGGAACATTCCAGAATGATTTTCTATGTAGATGTAAGCACTTTTGACTTTAGAAAAGTTACAATTGTGCAATAGCATTAAAATATATATAAGAAGCCAAGCATGGTGGGGTACGTCTATAGTCCTAGTATTTAGGAAATGAAAGCAGGGAGATCGGGAATCGTAGTTCTTCTTGGCCATTTAGGAAGTTTAAGATCCATATGGACTATAGCAGACCCCCAGCTCAAAAGCAAAACAAAGCAAACAAACAAAAAGGTAAAATTAAAGCCATTGTCTTGATGCTTCTAGTGTCGAGAGAAGAACTCAAACTTAGTTTCCCCAGTGCCACCTGGGGAACGACCCTGGGTGATAGGAAGAAGAAAAATTGGGGGTGGGGGGAAGTCCTTTGAGGGGACGGAGGCCAAACATCTCAGAGCCTGTATTTCCTCACTATGACTGAGAAAAGAGGCCCCTCAACCCAACCCCCACTGTAGATAGGACAGAATGCAGGGACATTCTGCAGAGACTGGGAGTTTCCTTTCAAGGCGCGCTGATGCCATCCATCAGTGAATTGGCTGCTGTTTCTCAGACGGGCTTTCACACTCTGTACCTACCTGGCTCACCTGCTGGGACGGTGAGGGATGAGCAGAGGTGGCACGGGCCGTTCCTGTCACAGTCTGTGACCAGTGGCGACACAATGCTCGCCGGGGGGCTGTATATCTAGCCAATGAGAATTCCCACCTGACTCACATGCACAGAATTTATCAAATTGTGGACGCTGCATTTGGAAAGTGCCACAGAGCAAATGCAAGAGAACTTCTCACAGCTCGCTACTGCTACTGCGTGTATTCAGTTGACTTTGAAGGTAACCTGGCTGCGGTTTCACTCCATAGAGCAGCGGTTCTCAACCTTCCTAAGGCTGCGACTCTGGTGCCGTGACCCCCAGTCACAAAATTACTTTTGTGGGTTGAGACCCACAGGCTGAGAACCACTTCTGTGGGAGGATTTTTAACAATGAAATAGTTTAGATGATTTAGACACATTTTTGTCAAGCCAGTTTGACAGCCTGGAAGTGAACGTGTCCGGTAACTGTGAAGATTAAACCAAGTGGTATTTGGGACTTGTTAAGTAGATAGTAATTTACTAGCTGCCTTTTTTGAATGTTTACGAAGACATTTTATTTGAAATATGGGGCTTCTGATAAAATTTCAGATTCAGATTTGATCTTTTAAAATACGATCTATTACATTGAGAGAAGGCTTACTGAGGTCAATTCGAGGTCATCGTTGATTATCCTGGAGTGTAGGCAAAAACAAGATTTGGGATTTAAAATTTTGGAAGGTGGTAGCTGAGACTGGGGCAGGGAGAGCCTGCCAGGGTTCAGTCTTCCTAGGGAAGACCTGATTTATCCCCAAGATACAGGGACAGTTATCGGGTCCCTTTATCTTTTCCCTTTAGCATCACCATAGTACCTCCCACAGCACGTGATCATAAAGAGGTCTGTGTCCTCCGTTGCCCTTAGGAGCCACCCACGACTATCCTCCGGCTGATGGCTCCTGGCAGGGTATAGATGAAGAGGACCAGGAAGATGATGAGGATGATGAGGATGAAGGCGATGATGATGTACTTCTTGTAGTTCCTCCAGATCAGGTGGTACAGGCACTTGAAGGGGCTCACGAACCACGAGAAGGAGGTGTCCGGGCGGCTAGGGGGGGAAATCAGGAAAAGGGGTCATGGTCAATAGCCATGAGTCCCAACCTCCCAGGAAACACTTCCAATGCTGTTTTTCTGGGGGACCCATAGGAGAGAGGAGAGAATATAGGGATCTCTGAGAATGGGGTTGGGGGAAGAAGAACATTCTACCTAAAGCAACAGAAATAGGGCAGTTTACCAAGCGGTCAGTAATGGCTGGTGTAAGGCATGGTGTTAAAGGTTGCTCTGAGTCAGACCAGAGCCCTGTTAGAACCCAGCCTGAAGCCCACACCGTCCATCCCGCCACCTGTCCCTCTACGACCAGATCAAGCCCACCTTCTGCATGAAATCTACTCTGACCGCCTCAGCGCACCAGGAGCCCTCACTGTAAATTCCTGCCCCACGGAAATCGAACCTCCTTCTCTGCACAGCATATTTGTCTTTTATGCTCTCATAACTATTTCACGAGTTTCTGTGCTACTTCTCCTAAGGAAATGGCAAGCTCCTGGGAGGCAGAGCTTATGCCTGATATTTCTTTTGTGCCCTCCAAAGTCTTTTTTTATTTTTTATTTGTTTTTAATTGAAAAAATTTTCATACAATGTAATCTGATCACTTTCCCCTCCCCAACTCCTCCCCAACTCCTTCCCCTATCCCCACCCACTGAACTCATGCCCTTTCTTTCTCTTTCCATTTAGAAACAAACAGGAAAAAAAAAAAGAATGAAAAACAGAGACAGAAGTAAGACACAGACAGACACAAATCCATAAAAACACAAAATTGAAAACTGTAATATGCAAGCAAAAAAAAAAAAAAAAAAACCCGTAAGACAAAAATAAAATGCCTCCATAAGGCAATATGAGACAAAAAGTCTACAAAAGTGCCACTGAAAATTCATTTTGTCTTACCCATCTATGGCTCAGCATGGAGCCTACCCTTCTATGCCGTTGGAGAAAACGGCTTTTTTTTTTTTTTTTCGTAGGCAGGTATCAATTGTAGATAGCCTCTCCGTTAGGCTTGGGATCCTGTGTCCACTTTCCCCCTCTCAGCACTGGAACCTGAGCAGGCCGGGTGTGTACCGCCATAGTATCTGTGTGTGAGGTGTTCTTAAACGGATGCTTTAACAAAGAACTTTGAGTTAATGAGTAGCCAAGCACCTGTTATGTTCCTAGCATTATGAGAGGTGGAATGTGGGTACAGAGACAAGATCGCACAGCCCGGGTCTGGGGAGAGATAGAATAAACACAATTCCAAAAGGCATTTTATACATGTATTTCCTGTGCATTCAATTTTTAATGGCCATGCAACCAAGAGTCAAGTGCAATAAAGGACTATCATTTAATTCTGACTCTGGGAACCTATTTTTTTTTTTTTAAAGCAACGATGTATCAAAAAGAAAATGTTTTCATCAAAACAAAACAAAAAACAAATCGGAAAATGGCAAAATTAAGTTGATTTCATGATTCTGGGTGGTGACCAACTTGACGATGGGCACCAAGCCTATGGAATGTTGTGCTGTCCTCAAAAATCCCAACTAGAACAGCTATGACAATGAAGCAAAAACTTTTCAGTGAAGTGTGAAAACGTTAACTCGGTCCTGTAAGTTTGGTCAGGTCAGCAATCCACGTGCACACAACAGGAGTGGAAGACAGATGAATTGCTCTAGAGAGGCTCTAGGTGAGGCATTTTTACAGACGCGACCTGCTTCAGCTGCAGTGTGGGATCTCTGGGGCATTTTTCAGTTATAGAAACAATAAACCACACAGGTTCGTCAGCACTTAGTCGCCTGATCCTCAGCTCCCGAGTTCTGGGTGATGTAACAGGAAATGCCGGGGCCTCAGAAAAACCTGGGGGTCGCGGAGGCCCCGCGCATGCGCCACGTTCCCAACTACAACCCAGCCATACTCACTTGGGCTTCGCCAAGGGCTCGGGCTCCTTCCGGGCTTTGCCGACAGGGTTTTTCTCGGCTTCCTCTGCTGTGACTAAGTGGAACTCAGCTTCAACCTTGCCCTGCATAAGACAGAAACTGCAGTTTCCAATCACACACCTGGGGGCAAAACCGGCGACCCAGAAGTATCTTGTCATTCTGTCAGCAGGAAGTATTCTGACTAGTCTGTTGGTTTATTTTGAGAAAATACCTGTTTTCTGGTTCAGGAGAAACCATCTTGTGAGGACTCCTAAAAGCCCCAGGGTGTGGCTGGAGAGGGGGCTCGGTGGGTGGGGTTGCTTATTATGAAGTATGAAGAACTGAGTTCAGATCCTTAGCACGCGCTTACAAGCCAGAGGTGGCAGCGTGTGTCTATAACCCCAGCAGTGAGGAGGGTTTGGAGACACGTAGATCCCAGGGGCCCAGCGGCCAGCCCGTCTAGCTAAACAGAGCTCTTCAGGCTGCGTGAGGAAACCTTGTCTCAACAACAGTAATGATAATAAGGAGGGAAGTGATGGGTGAAGATATCCCAACATCCACTGGGTCCCTACGAACGCGTGCCTGGGCACACACCCGCATTACATACACCTTCCCCGCCACCGAGGCCCATAATGCTGCTGCTGCTGAGGTTTGTGTTTGGGAAGGGTCCCACGTGTACAGATAGACACAGAGATATAGACACGGATATCTCACATTGACCAGTTGGCCATCATTAACAGGGAAAGAATAATACTAGAACTGAGTAGTCATTAGAAAGGGAGCTAATGACTCGAGTGGCAGGCCCCTTTATAGCAACCACTTTCTTTTCCGTCAGTTCTCCAGAGGAAATTGGTGGATACGACCCTGAGTTTTCAGAATAGCTTCTCTGCCATCCATCATTGATTGTGTGTGTTCACCAAGGCTGTCAGAACCATTGTTTTATTTTAGAAATACCCTTCTCCTCTATGGCAAGCATCCCTCTGACTTGGAAGCTGTGGGTGTCAGGCAATTCTCTTAAGCACCGTGCCAACGCTATTGGCAGAGATGGAAATGGCTGGCAAACTCCAGGGCAGAAATCAAGTCATTCTTTCTTGTTCAATCATTCATTCGCCGCAGGATGGGCCTTCTGGCGGGCTGGAATGCCTGTTCTTTGAAGAAGAGATTTTTCTTTCCTCCTGCGTCCTTGGATTTTGTGCACTGAGATTCAAGGTGACGTAGCGGGGAGGGGACAGTAGAGCGTCATAGAAGCATTTTAACAAATGCAGCCACTGTCAAAGCTGTCTTCAGGTCCCATAGATTAGAGATCACATGACTACTTGCTTTATTTCTTGTTCTTATTTATTTCCACTCAACCATGTCCTATGATTTAGAAATGGCCCTTACATGCATGAATATGTGTAGTCTCTTATTCCCATTGAGAAATTAGGGCAGATTATGCTCAGAGGGTATTTAAAAGCTGGGAAATAAGTAATATATAGCCTCTGTAGTTTACAGTCACTCTTCCACACAATTATCAGCATATAATAAGAATACTGAAGTTCAAATTGCAGTTGTACATCTTGACTCTGGCTCATTTTCTTTATTATCTCTCAGCCTGTCTCAAAAACAAGCAAGCTAGCTATTCTTTTCGAGAGGACCAGAAGCTAGAGGTCAAACAACGTTCCCAAGGCAATACGCATAATGGGCCATCCCCGACTAGAATTTGAACCCTGGTCTATAAGATACAAACTGCCTGGCAATTTATTCATTCCTTTGTTGGATAGTGGATGAGAAGGTTTAAAACGCTTTTCTCAGTGACCCATGATGTTCATTGTCAGCACCTGAAGGCACTCGTCTCCTTGTATCTCGAGCTCCTTGTCTGTCAGATATTCTAGAGCGATGTGACTGTAACATCTAGGATGTGCTAAAGGTAGAACTAAAATGCAAAGGAGCTCCTTAAGACTTGGCTATTGGAAGAAAGCTAGGAAAGCAACTTAAAACTGATGGCAAAGGGAACAGGCTCACCATACAAGCAGAGCTCTCTTCCAGGGCTCTTTCCGGGGTGGCTTAACCTCTTCTGAGCAGGGTTTTGTACACTAACGACTTCATCCAGTTGCTCTAATTTGATGGAGAGTCAGCTTGGGGGGGGGGGGCTAACCAGTTCCCAGGTTCTGGAATTGTTGGAACAGGGTAGAAATCAACAGGGCACACTTGGGTCAAGAGTGAAAGGACCAAAACAGCCTCTTTATACCCTACTGCATCATCATCATCATCATCATCATCATCATCATCATCATCATCATCATCATCATAGCAGCTCGGTACAGATTTCTGTAGTCCGAAGAAGTGCTTGATACACGTATGAGCCATGTAAAGCACCATCAAAGTAGATAGCATTTCCGTGTTTGGGGTCGCAGCCATGGAAACCCAGGCTTGCTAATCTCTGTTACTAAATTGTCATGTGACTCCTGAGGTGCTCTTAAATAGGCTCTCATGATTTTGCTACTTTATATGTTCAAGTGACCCCTTGCTGAGGGAGATAGAGCACTTGGGGCAAAATTCATGGCAAAAGGGAGAGAGAGAGGCAGAGAATAATGTGTCTGAGCGGCTGTCTGAGCAGTACGTGAGGTCAACATACTCAGATTGTGAGTTCCAATCCTGGCGGCTTCAGTCATTCTTTGGTTTAAAAACCTGGTTCAACCCAAATGTCGTAGGATTCAGAAATACCGTTTACAGTTATTTGCTTATTTATTTATTTATTGTGTGGGAGAGGGAGGGGAGGGGCAGAGGACAGGAGGGGAGGGAGGGGAGATAGAGTATGTGTGTGCACACCTGTGCGTGTGCGCGTGTGTGAGTCAGAGGTCACCTTGCAGGAGTCAGCTCTCTTCGCCAGCCCATATGGATTTTGGGAATTACACCCATTTTTTTTCTCAGGCTTTTCAGCAAGTGCCATTACCCACTGAGCCATCTTTAATAGTAAATGTGACTTTTCTGAAAAGTTCTAAGATGATTCCACAATCTTTGCTATCATCATTCTGGCATTGGTATATACATGTGACCCCAACTTGTGGGCTGGAAATGAACAGGATATAGCATAGACCAGCGTAGGTCAGATGGACAGTAGTTGAAGGAATGCAATCTAGTGCTCTTCATTGAAACAATGTGACCTTGAGTGAGTTGCCTGTCCAACTCCCTGTCCTCAGGATGTTCATAATATGAACACACAGTCAGCATTCTCCACCCAGCCTAAGGTCGCTTTCTGAGCCAATAAGTCCTGACCTTAGCATAGAAGTCAACAGTTATTATTGTGAAGCCTTGCTTATTCCAGCCGCAGGAGAGCAACGGGGACTATTGCATTCTGATAAATGCTTCTCCTCTCTGCCTATCTCTGCATCCAGAGGGCTTCACTTCCTACTCCATCATCAATATTCAGCCTCTCACCAAGCAGAGGTCTTAAGCTAATAATATCCTCCAAATGTAATTTAAAATCAGGACTATAAGAAGAAGAAGAAGAGAAAAGCACAGACAGTTTGAGAGATTACCCATTAACCTCATGACATCTGTGAAAGGGGGAAAATGACAAGGAAAGGTCCCTGAAGAGACTGCGCATATGCTATACCAGTTATATGAACTCCAAACCTTAACATTCTGGGAGTGGATCTCAGGTAAGAGGAGAAGAGACCAGGCCACCTTCAGAACAGACACATATTTTTCACCACTAATTAATTGCCGTTGCTCACTAAAATGCAGCCTCACTGCTATGAAAAGTCATTTGCAAAAATTCATGCTGGAATGTGCATTGATAAAATACTTTAAGAAAAAAAATATATATGGAGAGTTACGGTTTGAATCTGAAATGTCCCTACAGGCTCATGTTTCGAATGCTTGCTCCCTAGCCGGTTATGCTGTTTCACAGGGACTGTGACACCCACAGGAGGTGAGATCTAGGGGGTTGAAAGTGAGTCTCTAGCGGTGGGTTTCTGAAGGATATATCTGGTCCCGTCAGCCTCATTCTCTGCCTTCTGGTCCACCATGAGGGGAATGACCTTTGCCACACACTTGCGCCACCATGCTTTCCCTGCTATAATGGGCTGAAAATGTCAGAAGCCATGAGCTAAAATAAATCCTTCCTCCTTAAGTTGGTCTTGTGGCAGCCGTATGAGAGTAGCTGATTCCTTCATATGTACAGATACGTATGTGCACTGCGTGTACTCCCATGTTCTCAACCTAGGAATTTCATTTCTGAGTACCCGAATTCAAGAATAATTCAGAAACCTAAAGAAAAGGCTTTTGCACTAACACAACCATTCTTGGACCGAGTGTTCAAGTTGTCCTGTGTACTTTAACTGGGCATCTCAGACTCTTCTTGGATTTTTTGGCTCTAGGTCTGAAGTCAGCTTCTTTTAGTAGAAGATGCTATCTAGAAAATAGAATTAAAGCACTAAAAATTTATTTGTTACTGAGTGATTTTTGATCCTAGATTCTTCTAGGGGGTATATTTAGACGATATATTTTTAAAAAATTCCATTAGTCTGTAGTGACACAGCCAAAAATAAGTTGGGGGGGGCGGTGGAGGTCATTAGGTTATAACACTAACTCTTGATTCTAATCATTTTTTGGGGTGGGAAAGTAGAGTGATCACACTTCATACTTCTGCTTTATGGAGAAATCTCTTAGGTGGATGCTAACTGAGAGAGAGAGAGAGAGAGAGAGAGAACATGAACTAAACAAGATCCTTGGTGGTTGTTAAACCAGTAGGTGAGCTGTGGTGGCAGAAGAAAGCCCTCACAATGCAGGTGTGACCCCGTCAGTGACCTGTTCATGCAAAGGGGAAGTGTAGCTGTGCAAGAAAGACATCTTATATTTGCCAACCTAACCAACCCAGCAACCCAGCATCACTGAAACTATAGCTATTAGCCACAGAGGATGCTGAAGGTTCCTCCCTCAACCTGAAGTATAGCTGCCACTTTTTAAATTAAGGGCTTCATAGCCCCGGGACCTAACCTAAAATACATGTTAATTTGTGGAATTTGCCTGTAGAAGAAACTCACTGACCTCCATATCTTAAAGGAGTGATTTATTTAAAGATGGCTTTGAAGAGGACTAGTTGGTGCCAGAAGTATAA